CTTTAGTATTTCCCTCCGTTAACAAGGATCTCGTTACATTTTCCATAGGTGAATTCTCAATTACAATTTCCCAAAAAAAAAGTAAACACGATTGTTGCATTCTCTACCGATTGAGTTTTTACTGGACGAATCTGCAGGACATGGATTTGCTTGAAAATTGCAACGCATCAAATTTTCGATCTCTGAATTTCTGGGTTTATGATTTGGTCTGGAAAGCCATTGTTCAGTAGGAGAAGAGAAAGCCAAAAGAGAAGAAGGGAAAAAAAAAAAAAAAAAAAACGTCTAAAAGGTCCGAAGGGGATTCGAACCCTAGATCAGATGAAAAGTCTACACACATTTAACCACCTGACCACAAGAAATTCGTTAAACTTGGCAAAGAGTATGTATATATATATATATATATATAAACAACTATGGGTTAAGTTTTAACTACAGTTAGTGCTTCCGTTAGCAAAGTTAACAGTCGTTATCTCGGATGTACGATTTTACCATTTTTTAAACAACGAATGTTTTAAAAAACAACCGAAATTAAGTGACGTATTTTTATTCCAAATTTAATACTACACATATTAAACGGCAAAAAAAAAATTAGATGGTGGTTATTTCGGGTTTTTTCCCAAAGAAAGAAAGCATTACCAAAAAAAAAAGCATTTATCACCTAGTATTAAATAGGAGTATAAATTAGAGACGTTTATGGTAAGGCCGTAAAATCTGGGAATCTACAAATGCAAACAATTATCACCGAAGAAAAAAAGAAAGCAATTATCACTGAAGAAAAAAGAAAGCAATTATCACCTAATATTAAATCTATATAAAATCTTGACGTTTATGGTAAGGCCGTAAAATCCGGGAATCTTTAAATTTATCTCCTTAATCAAAGTTTTGTGTTGACCGAATCATTAACTAATAAAAAAAAAGAGAGACGTAATCGGGTAAGATTTTTGACAGGTGTAAGACATTCATTGGACGTCTGCGTTGGCAAAGTTGTTGGCCTATCTTACCCCCTCACGCTCTTTCTATATAATAAACCAATCCTCTCGTCCTCTTGTTATCTATAATCTAATAATCTTCGACTTCTCCTCTTAATTCATATCCTACGTAGCAAGTTTTAGATCTCCCTTCAGTTCCCATCCAGTTTCAATCCCCACCGATGGATAATCTTGGTCAATCTCCGCCGATGGAGAACCGCGGTCAATCGCCTCCATTGGTGATCAGTCTTATTGACAGATTAGGCCTCCTCCTCTACATGCTAAGTAATTTTTGTAACCATTGTTCTGATTCTTATTTCATAATCATCACGCATTTTAATTCTTCTAATTTCATAATCATCACGCATTTTAATTCTTTTTTCATACTAAAAAATGATTTATTTTCCAATTTTTTTTTTGATTCTTTTTCAAGTTCTCAAATTTTGTTTTAGACACAAAATCATACTTGAAGCTTTGGTCTCATAATTACTTTTGTCTTTGTATTTCTTATTGTTAGCATTGCAAGCCCATATGATCCAAGAACAAAGCCTAACACACTAATAAGGAGCAAGTCATTTTTCCCCAAACCCTTAGAACCCTAAATCTCTATCCGGTTCTGTTGTCACTCTCTCTCGACGACCATTTTTCTAAAGAATATGTTGAATCTGAGCTCTCCTTTGATTTGTTAATGGATCGACCAGCTTATTGGCAGAGTAACTAGGAAACCAAAACACACTCACTGTCACTGGTGAACACTTAAACATCTTTTCAAGTATCTGATTCCACCTAGAGACTGACTTAGCATAGCTGGAGTTAGTATGCTCAGTGTTCGCGCACCACAGTACTTACCATTTGTCCTACTCAGCTACTTCTTAGTCGATAATACACTCTACG